CCGTTGCCTACTGAGGGAGGGAGACATTGGATGCGAAGGTTTGCGGACATGGCTGTAGGACAGACTATCTGTCTGGGAGATTTCAGGAGAATACTAGCACAACAGACTTCCTATTATGAGGTAGAAAGAGTTGAGGATAGATCAGGAACATCGACAATGAAAGATAACGTGCCTATTTCCTTTAACGATGTTCACAGCAAGCTGGGCAAAGCAATGAGAGAACATTTCCCACAGACAGGGGGAGGTTACGGTTCACTGTCATTTACATTTACACCTGGAGAGGCTGCAGCAACCATGTTGCTCAGGGCACGCCAACAATACACAATGGCAACTGACTACAGTCCAGATAATAAATGACCAACATATACAGATGTTCCGTAAGGCAGTGCTTGCAGCGGTGCCGAAAGAAATTAAAAGTCTGATGGAGGACAATCCAGAGGTAGATCAGTTAAACACACAGACGTGGGAACGTCATTTAGCCCATCATTTGAGTAGATTTAACAAACAACATACAGAGGTTAAAACTGAGGAAGAGGAGTTGAGGGTGCAGTTACTGCGAACGCAGCTGGAAATAGTCCGGAAAACAGTTCAGAATGACAAAAAGAATGCCAAACAGTTGATTGTTCACCCAGTTGCGCCGGCCGTGCAGCCACAGGGGCAGCAAAACCCAAAAGGGGGCCTTTCCAACCAGGGTCCGCCCTATAGTCAGCCCCAATTTGGCTACGATAATAGCTCTTGGCAACAGAGGGGCGGGTTCAGAGGCGGGGTCAGAGGTCGAGGTGGCTTTGGAATGACTCCTGGATTGGAATACGTGAAGGTGTGTTTCATTTGCGGACAGCCAGATCACTGGTTCAAGCAGTGCCCACATAAAGCCCCACCAGGAAGGGGGCGGGCTAAAGGGGGACAGAGAGGATACGGAGGGGGGAATGGATCAGAGAGACCATATATCCAGACACCCCAGGAGGCTGTCCCATTGCCGCAACAACCGAACCAGGGTCACATTGCCCCTAATGCTATGGCCGCCCCCTATGGCCAGTTTGTCCTGTATGATGGGGAGTACTACGAAGAATGAAGACGCCCAGAGAACTCTGGATGTACGGGCCTGGCGGATCCATACATTAATATGACTGTTAAAGACTCAAACCTACCATTCCTTGTTGATTCAGGAGCAAGATATTCCACCATCAATTCTCCCGTCTTCAAGGCGTCCCTTTCATCTACAACAGTCTCAGTCATAGGGTTTTCGGGAAAAATAGAAAAAATACCGCTTTCCACGCTGTTATCCACCAAGATAGCAGGACAGACATTCTTACACCAGTATATTCTTGCACCAAAAAGCCCGGCTAACCTCATGGGTAGGGATATTCTGATCAAAGCGAATGCCTCCATCCTCTGTTCCCCCGGATGGACTGATAATATCATTCCCAAATGGCACAACCATCAATTGTTCGTTATCTACCATAACATCAGGTTCTCAGATGATGTTGGCCCAGTCCACTGAGGCAGAAGCAACCCAACATGCCACTATATTCTGGGGACTGTTGGACCGACCTCGGGACAACACACCTGGACTATATTCCATTTTTCAACAATGGAAGCCATGGATTAACCTCCTCAGGCCTTATGGCCCCCTCCAGACCCCCCCCCACCTGACGCTGAATTATGATAGAAGAGACGACCAAAGTTATGAATATGAGTATGATAATGAGGTGTCTATGGCCGTTTGGGACGTTACCACGACAAATCTCTTTGTGGGACAGGCGGGTGTGGCTGCGTCGGTTGAGCTCTCTGATGAACAACTGTACTGGTACCGTTTGTCTGCTGAGTCCACACCACACATTTCATTAGCTATCAGAAAGGGTTATGAAGCTAAAGAACTTGTTCCCATGGTAAAGACGCTGCTAGAAGTCGAAGATTGGGAACCTACGCAGATCGCGGCACTGACATACTCTCCCTCACACAGAGCTTATCGTCTTAAAATCTACACACAAGAATGCATCCACATGGAAAGACACAAAGTAGATAGACATCATGGTAGGGAAAAAACTGACCATGCATATACAGTTGACATGTTGCGTGATCTCCCGTCTGACCTGTGGGCATCGCACTCTCATGATGTAGGTTTCTGCTTAAAAGCCACACCAGTAACATTTGAGGTGAGCAGCTCTGTGCCTGTGAACCGGTCACAATACCCGATCAAACCACAGGCAAAAGGGGGTGTTGACAAGGCAGTTGAGGGACTGAAGAGAGCAGGGGTGTTAGAACCCTCACAAAGCCTTTGGAATACTCCCATACTTCCTGTATCAAAATCTAGCGGGGAGTACAGAATGGCTCATGATTTGAGAACCGTTAATGCTATTACGACTACAGCTCTGATACCAGTTCCTAACCCCTACACGGCTATCTGTAATGTCTCACCTGAACATACATGGTTCACCTGTATTGACCTAGCCAACGCTTTCTTCTGCATACCTCTGGCAGAGAGTATGAGACCTATTTTTTCTTTTACAATAGGAGGGGAGAAACTACAATACACAAGACTACCACAAGGCTTCAGTTTGTCTCCAGGAATATTCAACAAAGTACTTAGGGAACAGCTAGAGGGCGTTACATTGCCAGTGGGGGTAGTATTAATACAGTATGTAGACGACCTTCTCATCGCAGCACCTTCTGCAGCCTCTTGTTTGGAGGCCACCAGAAACCTACTGGTGCGCCTCCACACATCAGGGTTCAAAGTCTCCAAGAAAAAGCTACAATGCACCCGTAAAGAGGTGACATTTTTGGGCAGAGTGATGTCAGCAGCGCATGTCAGCAGCGCATCAGGAACACATTTTGAACCACCCGAAACCCAAGACAGTCAAAGACATGTTGTCTTTTTTGGGCCTCACAGGCTACAGCAGACACTACATCCCAGAGTATAACCCAAGAACAGCTGAACTCAGAAAACTCATCAATGAGAAAGGCATGCGCAATCTCACTGCCACACATTGCGCAACAGCAGCACCATGACCATCTGAATAGCGAGAAATATACACAAATGTATTATATTGTAACTTATTCCCATGCATGTTGCTCAAAGTAATCAGTCCTCACTTCTCTGGCGTCTCTCCCTCTCCTCTCGCGCCATGCGCACCAGGCAGGAGTGAGAGTGAGTTACCATGGTTACGGGGGGACGCTCTGTATCTCTGTCGCTCTGAAACTTCTCGCGATTCCCAATAATCCGTTTTAGTAATATAACATAATTTTGCAGTGTTGGTTAACATTATACAGGGTTAATGTTTCTTGATTAAATCCAAAGAGGGCAAGGTGGTGTAGACATGTAGGAAATGTGTTTTAAATTACAATTTGTTCACAGAGAGAGAGAGAGAGAGAGAGAGAGAGAGAGAGAGAGAGAGAGAGAGAGAGAGAGAGAGAGAGAGAGGAGAAGAGAGAGAGAGAGAGAGAGAGGAGAGAGAGAGAGAGAGAGAGAGAGAGAGAGAGAGAGGAGAGAGAGAGAGAGAGAGAGAGAGAGAGAGAGAGAGAGAGAGAGAGAGAGAGAGAGAGAGAAACTGTCTGCTTAGTTGCAATACTGTAGCTTATGCAATTTAGGCCTAGAAATTGTTTATGTAACTTATGTGCCAGTGTGTCCATGGTTTTGAGTCTGTCTGTGTGTTGAGCGCAGCGCCGTCTGCTTTTTGCAGTACAGTAACTAAAGTAAGTTAGGACTAAGCATACCGGTAGTTTTCTGTGGACCTGTCTGTTTTTCATTTACTTCATTTGTAGCCGTAACCGGTCGTTTTAAAAATCTGTCCATCTTCGTAGTATGCTAGCCGTGTTATATATCTATGATGCTTGCAGCGCGCTCTTTGACTGACGTAACAGTTATTGTTGTTTCCACGGTAACGCCGCTTGATTTTTAAATGTATCTATTTGTTAGATTTGTAACGTAATCTATGAAATATTTTAGATTAAAAAAAAAAAAAAAAATGATATCATGATAATTTAAATTAATGAATCTGAAAACTTTTCACGGACCCCCTGGCAGAGTGCCACGGACCCCCGGGGGGTCGCGGACCCCACTTTGAGAACCACTGCTTTAAGTAACCAACCGTGACACTTTGAGCTATTATCAATGTACCTACGACACCTACTGGTGGCCGTCTGTGAGGGTGAAACACAACAGTAACACTTTTTAGACGAAGCCCCACTGGTAAACTCAGAGATACAAAAGGCTCATTTGTGCCAATTAGAATAATCACAACCGCATTAAAATATATAAATGCTCTGAGATATTTATTTACTTTTGCACATAGTTCTACATTGATGCGGATCAGTTTTTTGTCACTTTTATTATTTGATTCATTTTGCTGTGAGTATTGTTTTATTTGCATTTTACTATGCAACCATAACCCATGTCTTGAGATTTGAAAATGATACTAACAAAACTGACTGTCTTTACATAACTGCCCAAGTTATTGAAAAGCATTTTAGTTTTTTAAAACAGGTTTTTTTTATTAAGATGCTTAGGTAAACATATTTATTTTTGAATTAATATGGCTGTGTTAAAAAAAAAAATTAGATACAGCAAAGCTTCTTGACAAAACCTTTGAATCACCTCTTTGATTTTTTGTTCAACTTAAAGAACTCATTGTTTCTATTCTTGAGGATGTGTGTGTGCAATTATTCAAGTTGTATAATCACTGGAATATAGCAGTCTATGCTGTACACATTATATAAGCTTCTTTATGGCCCACCCTTTAAACTACAATGTATCATTACTACTGAGCTGCACCAAAAAGAGGATTTATTTTGAGAGAGAGACTGAAACATAACAATACGCAGGCTTAATGAGGTGTAGAAACTACAATTGATTTTTACTTTTATATGGAAATTAGCTATCGGATAACATGTACATTCTTTGTTGTGGTAATGACCTTCTAAGCAAACAAACAAAGAATGCAAATCTGATTAAAGGTGATGGTATTTAAAGGATTGTTAATGAATCTTTTTTTATTCCTCAGGCAGTGCTACTACACTCGATGTTTTCAATACAACAGGGAGCAGCTGCAGAGACTCATGCCTACACACAAACGCAGAATTACACATGGGGTTTGTACTGTCAGTCTATGAACCGGCTATGGAGCAATTAAAATGGTGAGTGATTTGCTCAATAGCACTGCAATCTATACAGGAGATGTCAGTTTTCAGAGATGAGGCGACATTTCTCTATTTCTACACCTCCATATTATTACATCATTTAAAATGTAAAGGTACCCTGAAGAGAAATCTAGTAAACATAAAATATTCTGTTTACATTCAATGTTTCTCCCGAAAATGTTTGTGTGAATCATTTGAGCGACTTCCTTCTTCATAAGGATTACTTGCCAACGCTTATTATTTCTGGCATTATTTACCACAATGTTTACTTGTTTGCAGTTGCACTCCATTCATTCCTTCCACTCTCCTCTCACCCTCTTTTATATATACATTGAAATTGTACTCAAGTACACTATTTGAGTATATATTCTCAACACCCTCTTATATTTGCATATTGAGCCTTGAATCTAAGAGCTCTTTGAATGAAAGGCAGTTCCATTATCAATTCCTTACTGGCTGAACAACATTCCTGAAATACACAAAGCCATTACACTGAAGATGAATTATATCAATCAAAACAAGGCGTTTTTTTATTTTATTAAAGTTAGTGTAAATAAAGCAATTCACCAATGACAACACACAATGTTTTGGTGGAATGAACATGAGACAGAACACAATTCATTACATCAGACAGGAAGAGGAATGACCCACACTTCCTGTAAACCATGTGTAGATTTGAGTCTCACAGTAGGAAACCCCATACTAGGACTTCCGGACTCTGCAGGTTTGGCAGCGACTGGGTCATGTTGCTGGCATCGTGAGACGTCCTGAAATGAGTTTCTTTTTCTGAGATAAAGCTATGAGTATAACAAGGCTTGGGTCACTGCTTTTCCAACGGCTGGTAACACAGGTCTAAAGACAGTATGCACATTAAGTGAAAACAGGCCTTGAAGAAAATATCCGGGCACAGGGAATGCTCTTTATACAGAAAGCTGCATACATCCTATGATGGATTCACACTTTACATTATCACATTGTAACAAAAAAACGTACATGACATATTCCTGTTAAAGTAAAACAAGTATAATCTTAGAATATATACTTTTTTTGATAAATGTAACAGGCACACAAGTAATCAGATGAAGTTGTTGATTTATGAAGTGAGAGTCCACTCTATTAAAAAGGCAACAGAAAGTTAACAGCAGTTTCACTGAAGAGAGAATATTTGTTATTCATATGAATTCAGTGCCCAGGAATTATAATTCCTCATGTTAACCCTTGAAGAGTGGAATCTTTGCAAACAATTTCTCACTGAGTTGATCTAGATAAAAAAATGTTTTAGTGATTGAGTTTACCATTAGTGATCATTGGGTTTTGAGTTGTTATCGTGTTATCGTTATTAAAGGTGTAATTTATTTCAGAAACACTTTTTGTTATATTCCATGGAATGCTCTTAACATCCCTGATAGCAATGAATACATTAAATGCTTTGACAATAAATACATTAAAAAATGTCATCTGTGGGAAGCGTCGTAGTACTGTAAAAAGCATGACCAATCATTTTAGCCGGCCCGGCTAAAATAACTGGATCAGTGGTCAGCCTTCCATCTGTGCACAAATGTATCTCGTGCCCTCATTGGTCATGTGCGTGTGTGTTAGAGGAGGAGCTCTGTAAGGAAAGTCTCAAGGAAGAGGCAGATTTTTTTTCAGCTACATAGGGCCCTTCTCACTTCTCTTATTTTTCATTTCCTCGCTCCTCGGTCTCGGTCTCACCGGAAGTTGATTTGTCTGCGCCATCTTGAGTAGCGTCCCAATGGCCTTATTTTTGCCGGAGGACCGAGGAGCGAGGACCGATAATAGAGGAGCTATAACCGAGGAACCACCAGACCATCCTTCGATGAAATCCTCAGACACTCGCCCCACCCCCTTACTGTGTATCGCACACTGATTGGACGATGCAGTGCATGCACTGATCTGATGCTTCTTGACATGAGAGCAGTTTCCCAGCGGAGTGAAGAAAATACATGAACCTCACGGGAGTCACTCCTCAGTTTATACCAGGGGTGCCCAACCTTTTTTGAACCGAGAGCTACTTTTAAAGTTGCCAGTCTGCCGAGATCTACCAGTCCAAATAGAGAGGCGTAGCCATTACTGACCAGGTAAACTACCAGGTAAATACACACTTCTACTTGTATAAAACTGACCTTTGTACGATTAATACTCCATAAAATACTGCAGATCCTTTATCTTACCTGCTCTTTCTAATCTACACACATACAAGTATTTAACTGAAGCTACACAACAGTGTTGTTGATACAGAGTTGGAGTTTATTCACACGTCACATACTACAGTGGGTAATGTTTTCAAGAAACATTGAACAGTGCTGCCACATATGACACAGGAAAAAAAGAAAATACTCTGAACCCTTTCTTTGCCATTCAAATTAGGCTTACTAATAAGACAACCCAGATCTGAAGCTACACAGGAATCTGCTGCCAAAGTGCAATAAAAAAGACAAAATTAATAGAATCAAACCTTTTTTTGTTGCATTTTAGTAGAGTATAAAAAGAAATGCTTTTAAAATAGGATGCAAGCAACACTAGTTTCTTAACCTGAATTGATGATAGACTATAATCAATTTAAGTTCGCATTCTTATACCATTTTGTACAATAATTATAATGAATAAGTTCAAACAAACTAAAACTTACAGCTGATTAATAACGGTATCTAACTTGAGTTTTTATTATATCAAAAACCTGTTGAAATGCTACTGTTATTTTTACTGTCCCCAAAATTCGGCAGCCTCCAGGAATGCTTCTTTCACAACTTCGCCGTCTTTGAAATACTTCATGTGTTTCGCAAGAACGTGACTTACACGATAAGATGCTATGGTAGCAGCCTTGCTCTTGTTGTTGGGCCTGGTGAAAATGGACTGCTGTGCATTTAGCTGTCCTTTCAGGTCCCTCACCTTTTGGGAGCGTAGGGCAGAATTAGGAGGGAATTCCGTCTTGTACCGTTTGTGCACTGTTTTGAAATGTCGCTCCTAAATTACCCTTCTTCGGTAAAGCCACGCTCGCATTGCAGATGAGACAGATGGACTTTGAATTGGAATAGATACAAAAATAATCATCCTCCCACTCGGAGTGAAAATTATATATTTTGGGCTTTTTTGCTTCTGCCATAATTGTGGTCTTGTGTGTGTGTGCGGACTGTCACTCCTGTTGCCACGGACAACGTCAGCAAACTAGTGCCCACTGCCCACCAGCCACGCCCCGACACATGGGGTCACGCCAATCACAAAGCTTTGATGCGTCCAAGTGCATTATTCTGGCAGAGGAAGATTATGTTAAAGGACATTAACGATAAAACTGAATATTGTTGTTCTATTTTTAGACACATCTCGCGATCGACTGGGAATCTCCCCGCGATCGACCCAACCGGTCGGTTGGATCGACCGGTTGGGCACCCCTGGTGTAGAGTTGGCAATAACGCGTAATAATATTACTTTTGTCGGTAACGGAGTAGTGTAACGCGCTACTTTTATAATTCAGTAATCACACTACAGTTACTAACATTGCCCCGACACGCGTTACTTCGTTACTTACTAAAATCAGTCATAATCAAACCTCAACAAACACCTGCAAAGAACACATGCTAAGGTGAAGCTAACGCACAGCTATTTGTTGTTTGTTTATATCACGTAGTCTGTTCTTCTTCTATGTTTTCCGGTTGTTGCCTGTTTTGAATGACGAATACACACTACCGCCGCCTGCTGGTAAGGAGAGTTATTGCCACTCACGCATGCGCAGTTCGTACGTGCTCGGCTGAAGTCTTTGCGGTGTCTGGTTCCAGTGCAACACATGGCCAACACGCAGGAGAACACGCAGACGCAACAGCGTGAGCAGAGATAGACTGCGCAAAATATACAGATAGCAAGAGACAGAGGACAGCCATGGTCAGATAGGAAAACATTCAGGATCTGGATCAGTCTTATGCGACAATGGAAACTGAACTAAAGAGAACATTTGAAACTTTAGCAGTCTGCGTGATCTGCCTGCAGGGAGGGGCGGGCCGGCCCTGCGAGTAAAGTAACGAGTAAAGTAACGAGTAAAGTAACGAGTTACTTTATGTAGAGAGTAACGAAGTAGTGTAATATATTACTTTTTTAAAAAGTAATATGTAATATGTAATATATTACTTTTTTTTAGTAACGACCCCATCTCTGAGTATGAGTCAGAGGAGGAAGAGCTCCAATGCATCATTTATAGAGAAGTAGAAACTCAACAACTGGTAAACACAGTTCGGTTCATCCAAAGACAGACAGCAGAGCAGAGCTTGCAAGAAGGTGAAGTATAACTGCTCTTCTAATAATTTTCTGAGTATTCATTGCTATCAACAGTGAACATTGCACCTGTTGCTCATTAAATGGCTCACACCAGTTCAACTTGGGAGTCAAAACAAAGGGAGTTTCTTAACTTGTAACTGTCTCTTCTCCATTAGATATGGCCACGGCCTGCACATTGCTTACTGAGGATCAGTTCCAGTGCTCCATCTGTCTGGAAGTTTTCACCGAGCCTGTCACTATTCCATGTGGACACAACTCCTGCAAGGCCTGTCTCACCAGGCACTGGGAAGGCAAAGATCTGTATAAGTGTCCACTGTGCAACGAGAAGTTCCCCAAAGATCTCAAACTTCGGGTCAACACTGGATTCAGGGAGGTTGTCGAAAATGTCAAGGAACTTAATGCAAAAGCTGACAATGCTTGCCCTGTGAAGCCAGGAGAGGTGCCATGTGACTGCTGCCCTGATGACAACCAGTCCAAAGCCTCTAAAACCTGTTTGGTTTGCTTAACATCTTTCTGTGAGACACACATAGAGCCTCATCTAAGAGTTGCAGCTTTAAAGAGGCACACACTGACTAATCCTGTGCATAACCTGGAGGACCAAATATGCAAGAAACACAACAGGATGCTTGAGCGCTTCTGCAGGAATGACCAGACATGTGTCTGTGTCCTGTGTACAGAACACAGCACTCACGATACAGTCCCTTTGGAGGAAGCCTATGTAGACAAGAGGGCTCAGATAGGGAGGAAAAAGAAGGCGGAAGTACAGGAAATGAAGCATAAGCATGGAAAGAGAGCTCATAAGAACAAGAACACGAGTCAAGGAAAAGCTGAGGCTATGGAAAACAATACAGTGATACATAACATGAACAATCCTCAGACTTGGGGGATTCAAGACCGTTTTGGCAGAGTTGCTCTGAACGGGGTCCTTCCTCAATGGAGATGCTACTGTGAGGTTCAGGCTGAAGGGGGCTCCAGCGAGGACCCAGCAGTGGAGGGAGAGTCGATGCAAGGGGTAAAGGTATTCATAGCTAAACCCAAGGATGGAAACTGGATCATAAGGGCGGGATCTCTGAAAAACGTTATGACTCTACATCGAGTGCCAGTGTATCTTTTCTGCAGTCCAACATCAGGTGAGACCTGTGTACAGAGGCTGCAACAGCAGGTTGAGAGGTTCAAAGGATGGTCGCAAAATCCAGATAACGACTTCCGCTTTCGTTGTATTTTTTATTTTTTAAATATTTTTTTAATTTTATTCTGTGGGATTGCAAACCAATATTTAAATCATGACATTGGATAAAAAAAATATTCCTGCTACAGTGGTATGAAGGGTTACAACAAGCATCTCCCTCCAGTGACAAACTCATCTTTCACATATTCAAAGGTGAACATGTTTGGTTCGTAGTCAGTGATTTTCTAAATGAAAATGAAGTTTTCATAAACATATTTGTAATGCTTGTTTCTGCATTTGGTGTTAAATTGTCAGTTTTTAAAAACCTAAAGTTTACATCTCCATAAAATAGACTGGTAGCGTCACTTGAAATAAAAAACAACCCAATAAACGAGCATGTAAAGCTTTTCAATATCAGTGCATACTGCATATCTGAAGTGTTGTGTAGTGATGATGGTGACTTTGTTCAAGTGCACCACTAGAGGGAGCAATCGATTTATTCTTCATACAAACTCACCCCATTTCTAACATGGCAATTTAAACAGAATTCATTTTTTTTCTGGATCACCACATTTTAAGTCCTTATTAGTTTTTCTGTCTTTTCTTAAGAACTCTTGTGTTTACATCTTATTGCTTCTTATTCAGATAGTTAGATCATTTTGAGACTAAAATCAAAACAGGGAAACTGCACTATAATTACAAAGTGGTCTGTCTGTATGCTTAATGACCACTCTGAGGAAAATCAGACCTAGCAAAGCTGCAGGCCCAGACGGAGTGCCCGGCCGGGTACTGAAGGCATGTGCGGACCAGCTGACAGAGGTGTTTACTGATATATTCAACCTCTCATTACAACAAGCTACTGTTCCAACATGCCTCAAATCCTCAACCATCATTCCAGTGCCTAAAAAGACATCTGTGAAGTGCCTAAATGACTATCGCCCAGTCGCGCTTACACCAATAGTCATGAAGTGTTTTGAGAAACTGGTGCTTGCCCATATCAGAACAATCATCCCACCTGACCTTGACAAGCATCAGTTTGCCTACAGGCCAAACCGCTCCACAGAAGACGCCATCAACTCAGCCCTCCACACCTCTCTGACACATCTGGAATTACCAGGCAGTTATGTGAGGATGCTATTTTTGGATTTTAGCTCTGCATTCAACACCGTCATGCCCCACAAACTGGTCAGCAAACTGAATATTCTTGGCTTTGGCTCTTCACTTTGCTTGTGGGTCATGGACTTCCTGACTGACAGACCACAGCAAGTCAGAGTCGGTAAGCACCTATCATCCCCCCTTATACTAAACACAGGAACCCCACAAAGTTGTGTGCTTAGTCCCATGCTCTTCACACTCTTTACCAGCGAAGTCACCCCCATCCACACCTCCAACTCCATAGTAAAATTTGCAGACGACACCACAGTAGTCGGTCTTATTACAGACAATAAGGAGACAGCCTACAGGCTCGAGGTGGAACATCTGACTGACTGGTGTAAGGAACACAACCTTGTCCTTAACACCTCCAAAACTAAGGAGCTCATTGTTGATTTCAGGAGGACAAAAAAGGAAGTCCATCTCCCCCTCCACATCCATGGAGAAACAGTGGAGAGCGTGGAAGACCTATGGTTCCTTGGAGTCAACATCTCCAATATATTAACATGGACCTCAAACACCTCAAACCTGGTGAAAAAGGCACAGCAGAGATTGTTTTTCCTGAGGAAACTAAGACAGGCCAGGCTTCCACAAAAATTGCTGGTAAACTTCTATCGGTCGACCATTGAAAGCACCCTGTCCAGCTGCATAACTGTGTGGTACACCAGCTGCACAGCCGCAGAGCGGAAGGACCTGCAACGGGTGGTGAAGGCTGCTCAGCGCATCATTGGGACTGAGCTGCCCAACCTTGATAACATATACAAAAGTCGACTGCAGAAGAAAGCCAGCAGTATCATCAGAGACATCACACACCCCGGCCACTCACTGTTCGAACCGCTGCCATCCGGCAGACGGTTCAGGTCAATAAAAGCACGCACCAACCAGGGTTTCCGTTAGCCGGTAATTACCGGTTTTTAGCTGGTAAAATTTAATAAAAACCGGTAAATTCAAAACCTGCCGGTCAAAATGTCCGATGCTCCGATCGATCGGCCGCCGATCATTCTCGGCCGATATTCACTCTTAATAGTTTGATCTGTGCTCTCTATAAAGGCCGACCAGGAGAGCTGGATCTGATCGATATGGACATAAACGCGAGTGAAGTGTAACCGGACCGAAGAGAGAGATCAGATCAGCTGCTGCATAATCACCTGAAGCTCCGCCCACTGTTTAGTGAGCTGCATGAGAAAACTGACGGGCTGTCAGGAGAGAGAGGGAGGGAGAGAGGAAAAGAGAGCATCCGTTTCTCCCGTGTTATTATTCAAAGTTAATTTAAACTTTTCAATAATGTACTTCATCTACTACAAGTAGTTTATTTGAATGTAATAATTATGTTGTTTGCGGAATCATTTATTGAAAAATGAATCTGAATTTTTCCGATCTGTTACGATTATAAACTGAAGCAATATAAAAACGATCCCCATTAACTGAGTTTTAAACATCAGCATATCCGGTCCTAATCCGTAATTACCTGCTAACGGAAACTCTGCTACACAATTCTTATTATTATTATTGAAACATGACCGGTAAATTTCAAATTTGTCCGGTAAAATTAATTCTGTCCGGACATTTGACCGGCGAGTAAAAATCCTAGCGGAAACGCTGGCACCAACAGACTGAAGAACAGCTTCTTTCCCAGAGCTGTGGCCTCCATCACTCCCATCCCTGTCCAACCACTAAACGCACTATAACATGCACACATACAAACACACTACTTCCCATCAAAGACTGCAGCCTAAAATACCATGTTATTTATTTGTATATTTATTAAGTATCAACTGATTTTTTTTAATTAATTTTTTTAGTAATTATTTATATTTAAACATTGTAGCTTTATATATTTTAACATTCTGGTAAAGTGCATATGATGACCCTGATTATTATTGCTACTATCTCTGCTTTATCACTGTTTTTATGGATGTGTTCTTATTTATGTTATGTATTGCATTGAGAGATGCCAACTGAATTTCGTTGCACTGATGTGTGATGACAATAAAGATATATTCTATTATATTCTATTCTATTAATGTATAATATATATGTATTGCTGCAGCAGAATGACATACTGTATAATAACATTGGATTACAAACTTTTAATTTGATTTAAATTATTTTAACAATACGTATAGGAGAAGAGCTTTATCTTAGATGTATTGCCATGACGCCAACGTTGTTACAAGCACTCACGTCCCTCTCATTTATAACTATAGGAGTTCCTCTTACTTTTCATTAAGGACCGACAGGTAACAAGTTTCATTTTGGGCTAAATTAAGATGATTGTATACTTTGAAAATCAGTTGACACTGTCATTGTGCAGATGCTTGCATGCTCAAAATGATAACATTAACATGAAACTTGGGCACATGTTGTGTAATATTATTACTTTGTAGCTGTGGAAACATTACTGTACGTCAGCCAACAAAGTGTAACGTGTGTTTGCATGTCAGCATCTTTAAAGGATAATTTTTCAAATAAGTCTTATGTCATGTGTTTTTACATGAAGTGAAATCAGACATCAGTGATGAACATTAATGAATGTATTGCTTTCAGACCATTTATTTCAGGGTCAAATCCAAGGCAGGGAAGTGCGGTACACTGTGAATTTATTATTAAATATTGCCAAAACTACCACTAGAACTTGTCAAAGTAATACATGTTGGAATAACAAAAGTATTTTAAAGTGGGGCTTTAAATATCTCCATGAATTTACCAACTGTGTATTTATTTATACTTTTGGTCACATGAGGGAAATACTGGATACTGCAAGAATTGCTGCTTCAAACATGTGTTGTTAAGTCTCTTAAAGGGGACCTATCATGCAAAATGCACTCTTGTACGTCTTTTATACATGAATATGTGTCCCCGGTGTGTCAGGGAACTCACCAAGTGTCAGAGAATACAACCCTCTCTCTTTTCCTCTATACCCAAATCTCTAAAAAAAAAAGGGGCTGTAACGGATCTGATACAGACTGATCCAGATTTGAATTATTGTCTACGTCACAAAAGGGGTGTTCCGCTTAGTGGTAAATTCTCCACCTATCAGGGGAATGAGAGGTTGGGCCACGGTCTGCCATTGCCGCTCGAAAGCGCTGGAGACGCTGTAGTACATATGCCAGGCCTGTAAGTGGCGCTGTAGTCTGCCATAAAAAAAAAGCAGCGAAGAAGACTTCCCGCGCATGGTTGCCCTTCTGTTTATTCTCCGCTGTGGCTCTTTTTCTCCCTCGCTGAGGCAAGCGTTTGCGCCTTCTGCTTTAAAACAAATGAATAATGATTCTATATGTAACTTACGGGATAATGTGGTGTGATGCGGTCATTATGGGGAAAAGAACACCGACAGGCTGATCAGGAGCCCGACGCGAAGCGGCACATTATCCCGCTTATTACATGGCCACATTCTCAACAAAGTAACGATATGACTCCCAATATTAATTGAAATGCTTTTATGGATTTAGAAAATGATTTTATTGATTTAAAAAATAGTTGTATGTATTGATTTAAATTGACATGCATCCGCTAAGAAAAATAGTCCGTTGTTACTGTTTGAACTAAAGACCCTGACACACCAGGCCGAAATCGGCCGTTTCCGTTAGTCGGACGACGAAGCGTGCTCTGTCGCCCAAACTCAATTTGGTGTGTCCCCATGGGCGTAGGAAGCATCCTGAATGTGGGGGGGACATTTTTAACGGGGGGTGTGGGGGTCCCCCCCACGAAAAAAAATAGATTTCCTGTATTCTGGTGCGTTTTAACAGGTGGTTTGATACTTTTATGTGGCTATACTAGCATGAGGAAAATGATGGGTACATTTTGTAATTTCATCCAGTAGTAAAGAAAGGAAACATATTTGATTATTAATTCAGAGCTGTCTTTGAATTAATAAAAAGCAGTTTAAATGCCCATTTTTTGTACATTTATATACAACAATAAATATTTGTGAGTGCATTGAGAGATATTGTTGTGGAGAGTCATTTATATATAAATCGCAAAATACATTTGTGAATTCTTCTGTGAGCATTTATTAATATTGAGACTGATCTGACTCCATACAGATGTTAAGTTCACCTAGG